AATTTTTTGAAACTCACAAGACTGGAAAGTCCCATTTCTTCACCTAAACTAAAAAAGAACAAATTTAGATGCTCCGAACCAAAGCCCTTTAATAGAGCCTCATGGCCTCAGAGGCGAGAAGGCCCCAAGGACTCTCCTCTTACAGTACTTTCTCTCATCAGACACAGCGAGTGAAGGAATCACTGAAATCCCCAGACAATGCAGCTCAAGAGAAGCTGACTCAGTTCGGTGAAGATGCCTCCAGTTCTGACTACAGATAACTGAAAAAGGACCCTTTTCACCACGTGGTTGGCAAACCAGATCCGTTTACAGAATGGCTATGCATGCTGAAGTCTCCTCAGGGCACTTCCTTTCCATGGCATCACAACTCTCCCAGAAGCAGGTTCTTCAATATCTCCACTTGGATAGATGCCACCCAGGAAACTCTACACAGGTTCCAGACGCCCATTACATTTTCATTATATTAAAGACAGCATCTGACTCACCTAATATCATTTCTCATAAACACTTGTGGTTTAACCAATCCTTTGGCCTTTGGGACCCACATAGGAAAGAATGACCTTTCCTAGCCCAGGACTATATCCCAACCCCTCTGCTCATTGCTAGAAAGCTTTCTCTAAGGGCATTATCATAAGTCATTCGTATGTCTCAAAACTATACTCTCAAAAGCAAAATGACTATTCATCTGGGCATCTAAATCTATCTCATGAGACCACTGCTCTAACATGTTGCGAAATCGAATATTGCACTACCATAGCAAGGAAACCAATTTTCAAGGTTCCTCATCCTTGTGGGTTCTGTAACAGCTGAGTATAGTGTTAGGAGGGAGAAAGCACTTAGCTCCCAACTGCCATTTCCCATGTCGGTCTCCTCACACCTTCGATGTTCTAAGGCATTACACTCATCTCTACAAAATTCTGTTTTCTTCGATTGAGTGTGTATTACCAATTGAGTGAAGTGCTGGAGACACCCCCCCCCCCCAAGCTGACATTGATACAGTCATGATTTCTTTGGGTCCAGCTTTTCCACAAGCTCCAAGTTTAAAGTGCCTACTCTGTGCCCAGATTTAGCATTCGAAATGCTTTACAAATGTTTTCTCATTTGATCTATACTCAAAAGCCATTTGGAATTACGCAAATAAAGTGACTAAAATGGCCACGCCCTTTCAGGTATTCCACAGCTAGGTTTATACACCTAGGAGGGCTCTGAGGAAAACAAAGGTCCCATTTCCACCAAAATGTCATTAACCACACTTTTCATAGAAGCAAAGGACTGGAAATAAAGTAAATTCCCATCATCACCTTTATTTTGTTAATTTATTTTTTTCTGAATTGTTCAAATCTGGGAAGTCAGGTAAGATTTTGCCAATAATTTTTTTATGCTTATGTGATTGTTTTTCTGTGTTGATGTTTGTCTACAAAGACATCTAAGTGCACTCTAGAGAGAATATTGGACCTGGAGTCAGGTCCTTGAGTCAGGAAGACCCAAGATATTTACTAAATATGTGAACCTGGGCGTGTCACTCTTTGTCTCCCTCAGTTTCCTTCTCTGTAAAATGGGTATAATAATAGCACCTACCTCCCAGGGTTGTTTTGAGAATAAAATGAGATATTTTTAAAGCACTTTGCAAATCTCAAAGTATTATGTAAATGCTGGCCATTATTGTTATTATTAAGTTTTAAAATGTAAATAAATAGGAGCAGCTAGGTGGCACAGAGGATAGAGCTCTGGCCTTGGAGTCAGGAGGACCTGAGTTCAAATCTGGCCTCAGACACTTGGCATTTACTAGCTGTGTGACCCTGGGCAAGTCACTTAACCCCGATTGCCTCACCACAAACAGAAAAATAAATAAATATTATTCAAATATTATTATTCAAAAAAGAAATTTAGGTGATGAAAAATGAAAGTTGTCAAAACAAATTTAAATTTAAAGAAAAAATCCTATGAATCAAATTCCTAGGGTTTGTTTTAGATACAAACAAAAGTCTTCAGTAGAAGTAATAAAAGAAAGTGGATACCTATCAGTTAGGGACTAGCTAGGTAAATTGTGGGACATATATGGAGTGGAGCATGACTGCTTTAAGACACAGAGATCATGATGAATGCAGAGACACATGGAAAGATTTGCATGGACTGATGCCAGGTAAAGTGGGCAGAGCTAGGAAAGTAAGATATAAAATGAGTACCATGCCGTAAATGCAGATAATCACCAAATAACCGAAACTGAATGTTGAGAAATTCTAAAGAGCAGACTTGGCCGCAAATGAAAGATATCAGAAGGCTGTTCTCCCTAGTATCCCAACCCTTTGGTGAACGCCTTGACCATAATCCATATAACATCAGTTTTAGGTGTGTGAATCAATCTGGGTATTTTTTTTTTCCTCCTCTTAAGAGGGGAGGTTGGAGAGACCTCCTACGTCTGGCATTTCTCATCCAGTTGTACTTATTCTGGATTTCTTTGACTTCACCACATTCCTGTGCCAGATACTTCCTCCCCTCCTCTCTCCACTGGCATTTCAGCCTCCTTTTGTGTTGTGTCTTTCCCCGTTAGATTGTAAACTCCACGAAGGCAGGGACTGTTTCTTTTCTTGTATTTGTATCACCATTGTGCTTAGCACCGTGCCTGGCAGGCAGTAGGCTCTCTATAAATATTTGTTGACTATTAATAAGTCTTTATAGACTATGATCCAGTGATGCTGGCCTTCTTGCTGTTTCCTGTCTAAGAGGCCCCATCTCCTGACTCTGGGTGCTTTCCTGGGATGTCCACCATGCCTAGAAGGCCTTTGGCTTCCTTCAGCTCCCAGCTAAAATCCCCTCCTTTTCCACAAGAAGCACTTTCTGATCTCTCTTAATTCCACAGCCTTCCCTCCACTGATGATCTCCAGTTACCCCTTTCTATATCTGCCTTTGTACATGGCTGTTTGCACGCTGTCTCCCCCATCAGACTGGGAGCTTCTTGAGGGCAAGCTTTGTCTTTTGACTTTCTTTGTATCCCAGGCATTTAGCACAGTGCCTGGCACATAGTAGATATTTAATACCTACTTTCTGACTGTAACTTTCTTTCCTCCTTCCCAAGGGACCCTAAGAATTCCTTACTAACAGAAACAAGTTTCTCACTGGACTCACCAGGACCTTCTTCTTCAGGCAGGAGGGGATGTCTTGTGGAAAAACGTTGTGGTGTTCTGTGGACCTAGCCCTGTGTGGCTAAGAATCCTGACCGATTTCTTAGAAACTAAATTTGTTTAATTTAGTTTGATTTGTGTAATTGTTCAATGCTTAACTCAGGCCCCAGTTACGCTGACCAGAAGCCCATTCAGATCCAAAGACCGATGCAAGGAATGCAAGGAGTTGTCTCCTGTTATCTACCTCAGCAGCCCACACGTGGGGTCTGCAAACTGCCTCTGGGCTGGCCAGGCAGACCCTGCATCCTCATGCCTCTTTTTGAGTTCCATAAAACGTGTCAGCTATGACACTCGGTGGAGGGGGCCGCCCCCTTTCCAGCTTGCCCTTCTGCTGGATAAATTCATGACACTTTTCTTTAAAGTTATTTCAGTTCTGAGCTTAGTTCTCCTGGAGGCCACCATCTCCACCCCACTCTTCTAGCCGACCTCATCCTGTTTTCCATCCTCACATAGACCCTCTGTGAATCACAGCATGGCTCCTCCTCACCCCTTCCAACCCTGCACTCTCCTGTGCATCCATAGGGAGGCAGAGAGGCAGTGTGGTATGTGAGGCATTGCAAAGGGGCTGTGAAGTGTGGGAGGGGGAGAAGTTCTGTGGAATCAGCCCAGAAAGATAGACTCAGGACAGATTTTGGAGGGCTTTACATTCCAACCACAGGACTTTGTCTTTCATCTTAAAGGCAATGGGGAGTGACTGGAAGTTCTTGAGGGGGAGCAGAACTTGTCAGAGCTATGCCTTAAGAATTCCCATTGGGCAGCGTGTGAAGGTGGACTGGAGAGCAGAGAGGCTGGATGTGGAAAGGTCAGGAGGAGGCTTTTGCCCTAGTCCTGGTGAGAGGTAATGAGCTGCTCCCTGAGGCCATGGTCATGTGAGTTGAGAGGAAGGGAGGGAGGTGAGAGATGTCCATGGAGTGGGGAGAACAAGTGTTAGGGACTGATGGGGTATAGGAGGAAGCTGAGGGTGCCTCCAAGCTTCTGGACCTGGTGGCCTGGAAGGAGAGGGGCTTGCAGTAGAAACTGGACGCCAAAGAGGAGGGGGACGGAGAATGACCAGGAGCCTGGCTCTGCTTGGTTTTGTTTTGAATGTGTTGATTTGAGAAGCCAAGAGAGAGAATGTTAGAAAGAAGAGAATCCACATCAAATCAAAATGACCGTGGCCGGTGGAAGAGGCGATAAGAACTGAGAATGACGATGGCGTGACTCTGACGGTCCCTGTGACTCGGTGTTGTAGACGGCTTGGATGCCAGCTCCCAGCCCTGTCCCCCCACGGTGCCTCCTTCAGTGTTCAATTAATTCCTCATCCTCTCCAGCTTCTTCCTTCACATGCCTTCCATCTCCTGATGCCCCAGAAACGTGGCTTGTCTCCTGACCACGCTGGTCCCCTTGGCACCCTCTTCACTACTGGGCAAACCTCTGCTCCCCCCTACACTGGGTGGGGATGGGGGGGAACTAGGCAGGTTCCTTGCTCTCTGCCGCGCCCCCTCTCCCTCCCAACATCACTCTGAGAAGGGGGAGGGGCCAGCAGGGGAGGGCAAGGTGGGCCCAGGAAGGTGAGAAAGAATGTTTCTAGGGGGGAAGAAGAGGAAAACGGAAAAAGGATGAGAGGGGAAAGGCTAAGGAGAGGGGAAGGCGGGATGGATGCTGCAAGAGAAAGCCTAGAGAGCTTCCCAGAAGGGCCAGATGCCCCCATCTCCCCAGTTTCCCTGGACAGACCACAGGCCCTGGAGCTGGGGGTGTGACTGACAACTGTTGTGATCACATCCTGTGGCTTGGATCACGGGAGGCACAGGGCCCAGAGGCAGTCCCACTTCCTCCTTCTCCTTTCTTCATGACCCTTTGGCCAGGCAGCTTAGATCAGGGCTGAGGGGCCAGCATGGCCCCCAGAGTCACCTCTCTGCTGTGCCTGGGTGAGTGCCAAGGGCCCCAGGCTGGGCTGGAGGGGAGGAAGACTCTGAGAAGGTCCTTGGACAGGGGCTACGTGGGACAGATGGGGACACTGAGGCTGGGGAGAGGCTGCCTGCACAGAAAAGTGCACTAGTGCCTATCGCTTGCTCTGTGTTTGATCCACAGTGAGTTGGATGGGGTGGGGGTGGGGTACAGAGGTGGAGCTGCTGGGGCAGGGGCAGGATCGCCTGTAACCTGAGCCTCTCCTTCAGGGCTGTGTCTGAGCCAGAAGATCACAGCTCCAGAGGGTGAGTCCTTCCCCTCAAGGTGCCCCTGCCAATCTTCCCCCTCAGCGCTACCTCCAAGGCAGCCAATTCTGCAGAGAGGGGGGAAGGGAGGGAGGTGCCTTTTCTGAGCTGAAGGGGGTGCCTGTGGTTGGGAGAGTAAGGGTCGGGGGCTGGGACAACACCTGGGAGGGCAGGGCTCTGAAATCCAGGCCCTGATTCCCTTCCAGGGACACTGCTCAGACCCTCCATCAGGGCTGTGCCCAGCTCTGTGGTCCCCAAGGGGGCAGAGGTAAAGCTCTATTGCCAGGGCCCACAGGGAAGCAAGAGTGTTCAGCTTTGGAAGGATGAAGCATTCTCACTCCAGATAAATACCTCCAGAGAAGAGGCTGAGTTCCGTCTTCAACGAGAGAGAATAAGTGCTGCAGGCAGCTACAGCTGCCGCTACTGGCAGGGACTCCACTGGTCAGAGTTCAGTGCCCCCCTGCAGCTGGTGGTGACAGGTAAGGAGGGGCCCAGGAAGTCCTGGCTCTGGTGGGCAGGGCTGGTCCTGCCCACTCAGCCCCAGGGCCCTCCCTGGGATGTCATTTCCCCCCTCATAGCCCCAAAGACCCCGGTTTGCTGGAGAGGCC